GCATCACAGCTCACAGCAACCTCCAACTCCTGGGCTCAAGTGAGTCTCCTGCCTCAGCCTCCCAAGTAGCTGGGACCACAGGCACCCACCACAATGCTTGGCTATTTTTTGTTGCAGCTGTCATTGTTGTTTTGGCAGGCCCAGGCTGGATTCGAACCCGCCACCTTAGGTGTATGTGGCTAAGGCCTTAGCCACTTGAGCCACAGGCGCCGAGCCTGGAAGCCAATCTTTGGGGTCAATTTTATCATCCTTCTCGTAAATATTTAGTCCAAGGGCATTAACTCCAAGCCAGAGGTCTGTTCCTTTCTTATTTTTGATCTCGAAATAGTTGATCCCATACATTTCCAAGTCCTGAGCTATCTTGAGATACTCCAGCATAGCACTGTCTTTGAGCATCCTGTGGTGCTCCGCGTGCCACACCTGGATCCGGTCCTCCCACTGGTCCCTGGTGAGTTTGTGCTGGTCCATAACTCTCTGAGGGATCAGCCGCTCTGAGTTGGGTACCTGGCCTTGTGCACCTCTTTGTTATAATCCCCAAACTTGGCCTGCACAACATAGGACCCCAGGAGCACTGCGGTCTTGGGAGGGCAGTAAATCTCGTCACTGAGGATTCCCGCCTTCACTTGGAGGAAGAAGAGTTTCTGGGTGATGTCCTGGAGGAGCTCCTCAGCCATGTCTTCAGGGTAGAACTTGGACCGAAACTTGAACTGGAGGGGATTCTCCTTCCTGAGCTCCTGGGCAGACACCTTTTTATCAAGTTTCAGCCAAGTAGGAAATCCTTTATTATCCACATACTGGAGGCCAAAGTACCACACTTCCTGGAGGCCAATAGTCTTAACAACTTGATCAAAAAGTTGTTTTCCAGTTGTATTTGGCTGGATTGCAAACTCCAGCTCTGCATCCATGGTGGTAATCCAGACATTGATTGGTTTCAGCATCTTCCGTTCCTGATAGGTTTCCTCAGTCCCCCGAAACACGACTCTCCAGCAGCAGCCTTGGTTGTCCCCACCCACTGCGCCTGCAGGGCTGGGTGCGCTCCCCGCCTCTGAGCGTCCACCCCGGGAAGAGAGATTTTTCTTGTGCCATTTTTTGTGGAATGACCAGACTCCACCAGAACATAGAATTTCAGATCCTTCCAAGCACAGTGGCTCATGCCTGTAATCCCAGCACTCTGGGAGGCCAAGGCCAGTGGATTGCTTGAACCCTGGAGACTAGACTGAGCAAGAGCAAGATTCTGTCTCTAAAAATAGCTAGGCAATAAATAAGTAAATAAATAAAGATAGGCATTGTGGTGGATGCCTATAGTTCCAGTTACTAGGGAGGCTAAGGCAAGGAAATCTCTTGAGCCCATGAGTTTGAGGTTGCTGGGAGTTATGATGCCATGGAACTCTACTGAGGGCGACAAAGTGAGATTCTGTCTCAAAATAATAAAAAGAAAAAGGGCTCCATGCCCATAGCTCAGTGGTTGAGGCACTGGCCATATATAATGGGGCTGGTGGGTTTTAACCCAGCCCAGGCCTGCTAAAACCACAATGACAACTACAACAACAACAACAAAGAATAGCCGCATATTGTGGCGGGCACCTGTAGTCCTGGCTACCTGGGAGGCTGAGGCAAGAGAATTGCTTGGGCTCAAGTGTTTGAGGTTGCTGTGGGCTATGACACCATGGCACTGTACTGAGGGTGACATAGTGAGACTCTGTCTCAGAAAAAAGTGAAAGAAAAAGAATGTCAGATCCTAAGACAAATCCAGTAGGTGGACCTGTGCCCCACAAACCCAGACATTCTGATGAGGCCCCTGGTTCCTACCAGAGGAGTATGCTGTATTTGTGACCTTGTACTGTGAGAGCTTCCTGCTCCCAGAAACCACAGGGAGCCATGTCCTTGAGAGCTTTGTCCCATGGTGGCCAGTGGCCGGAATAATTTTCCCTAGCCTTCTTCCTGCATTTCTCACCTCATTTCTGACACAATTCCAGAGCTGACCCTCCAAAGCACAAACCACCAGAGGTTGGCCTGGCCCTGTGTCATCATGTGACCCTGGCAGGTTTCAGGATAGCTGTGTGTGTCCCTGGAGCCAGGGCAGGGCAGGGGTGACTCCCTGTACCCAGAGGTAACAGAGAAACCCATAGCACTGTCCCTGGAACCCGGGTCTCTTCTGAGTGCTAGATCCCCTAACCCAGGGAGGTGATAAGACAAAATTTAGGGTGGAAAACAGTAATGCTCTGGGCCGGGTATGGTGCCTCATGCCTGTAATCCTAGCATTCTGGGAGGCCGAGGTGGGTGGATTGCCTGAGCTCACAGGTTTGAGACCAGCCTCAGCAAGAGTGAGACCCTATCTCTAAAAATAGACAGGCGTAGTGGGTACCTGTAGTCCCAGCTACTCAGGAGGCTGAGGCAAGAGAATCACTTGAGCCCAAGAGTTTGAGGTTGCTGTAAGCTATGATGCCACAGCATTCTCCTGAGTTTGACAAAGAAAGAAAGAAAGAAAGAAAACAGTAGTGCTTTTTTTTTCTTTTTGCAGTTTTTGGCCGGGGCTGGGTTTGAACCTGCACCTCTGGTATATGGGGCCGGCGCCCTACTCCTTTGAGCCACAGGTGCCACCCCAGAACAGTGGTGCTTTTATGCAGTTGTAGCTAAATACCTGACTTTTGCAAACTTCACAAAACTACGTGACCACGAGACATCCCTATCCTGGCTGCTCATAGTATGGAAGAGGCTTGTCTTAGTCAGCTTGGGCTGCCATAACAAAATAGCACAGGCAGGAAAGCAAGTACACAACAGTTATTCCTCACAGTTCTGGATCTGAAGGCCCAACCAAGGTCAAGGTGCCAGCAGATGCTGCGCCTGGTGAAGGCAGCCTCCTGGCATGCAGGTGGTGCCCTCTCACTGTGTCCTCACAGGGCCCCTGGCCCTTCCTCTTCTTACAATCCCACTCATCTTTTTGGATTCCTCATCCTCATGACCTAATCTAACTCCAACTTCCTCCCAAAGTCTCCATTTCCAAATTCTGTAACTTTGTAGTTAGAGTCCCAGCATATGAATTTGGGCGGTGGCGGGGGACGACACACAAATATTCAGCCCATAGTGGGCCCAATGGTGATGAGGGCCCTGGCCGCTTATGGGAAGCACAGAGCTCAGCCCACTAGGAACCAGTGGGCCAGATGACTCTTTGCTGTGGGTGTCCCCGGCAGGCTGCAGGGCCGCATTCCCAGCCCCCACACATCAGATGCTAGTAACACCCCTCCCCCAGGTGTAGCAACCAAAATGTCTCCAGAATTGTCCAAGGTCAGGGTGTGAGCCCTGGTTTAGGGAGTTTGATTTCTTTTTTTTTTTGAGACAGAGCCTCAAGTTGTCCTCCTGGGTAGAGTGCCATGGCTTCACGCAACCCAGCAACCTCCAACTCCTGGGCTCAAGCAAGTCTCCTGCCTCAGCCTCCCAAGTAGCTGGGACTATAGACACCCGCCACAACGCCTGGCCGTTTTTTTTTTTTTTTTTTTTGGTTGCAGCCATCATTGTTGTTTGGCGGGCCTGGGCTGGGGATTCGAACCCACCACCTTAGGTGTATGTGGCTGGCGTCTTAGCCGCTTGAGCCACAGGAGCCGAGCCAGGGAGTTTGATTTCCATGTGGCAGTCTCTCACCCCAGGAGACCCTCATCCTGTCCTCAGGCCACAGGGCATATCCCCATGTCGGTTTCCAACCTGGTGGCTCCCACAGGTGTCTCCTGGGTGATTGGGACTGTTCTTACTTCCCACCAAGCTGGAGAGTCCACCGCAATCCAGCATGAAGTGGAGAGGAGTGTGCCAGTGGTTGGCAGGACTAGGGGACAAGGAGGGATCCAGAGTAGTCCAGCCTGTGGTTGGAGGACTGTGACTGTCTCAGGTCCTCCATGTTCTGCCCACCTTAACCTCCCTGAGGAAACAGGGGCCCAGCAATACCACCTCGGTCACTGGTCCTGCTGCAGCTTCTGTGGCCCACCTTGTCAGCACAGCTTTGTTTTTATTTTTAAAATTGTGGTAAAATAGGGCAGTGCCTGTGGCTCAGTGAGTAGGGCACTAGCCCCATATACCAAGGGTAGCGTGTTTGAACCCAGCCCTGGCCAGCTAAAAAACAGCAACAACAACAGCAAAAGAAAAAGCTGGGCTTTGTGGTGGGCGCCTATAGTCCCAGCTACTCAGGAGGCTGAGGCAAGAGAATTGCTTAAGCCCAAGAGTTGGAGGTTGCTGTGAGCTGTGACACCACAGCACTCTACCGAGGCGACAAAGTGAGAACCTGTCCCCACCAAAAAAATCATGGTAAAATATATATAACAGAAATTTACCATTTTATCCTTTTCTATTGTATAATTCATTTTTTTTGTCCATTGTATAATTCAGTGACATTAAGCACATTCACATTGTTGTACACCATCATCATTCATCTCCAGATTTTTCCATCTTTCCAAACATAAAGTGTGTCCCATGAATGCTGACCTCCAACCTTGGAGCCTCCATTCTACTTTCTGCCTCCATGAGTTTGATGACACCAGGGGCCTCATAGAAATCACACAACATTTGTCTTTTTGTGACTGGCTTATTTCACTTGGCATAAAGTAATCAGAACTCCTACTTGTTGAAGGTGTGTTGGAATTCCATGGCTTTTATGGCTGGGAGCTTTCCACCACATGTAAACACCACACTGTATTCATCCCTTCGTCCATGTGAGTTGCTTCCATCTTTTGGCTGTTGTGGACTGAGCTGCTGTGGACATTTGTATGCAAGTTTACAAGTATGGGTGCACTTTAATCACTCTTGAGTACCCAAACACTCTTGAGTACCAAACTCAGGATGCAGTTGTTGGCTCATGTGGAAGCTGTTGGGGTGACTGAGGCTCTACCACTCGCCAGCTGTGTTTCGGAGTTTGCACTGCCCTTGGGTTTTCTTTTCTTTTCTTTTCTTTCTTTTTTTTGGGGGGGGGTTTGCAGTTTTTGGCCAGGACTGAGTTTGAACCCGCCACCTCCAGCACATGGGGCCGGCGCCCTACTCCTTTGAGCCACAGGTGTTTCCCAGCCCTTGGGTTTTCTGGCATCAACCAGTGTCCTCTGGCCTCTAACACACCTGTGGGGCTGAGGCAGGGGTCCCGTACTATGAAAGGTGAGGGGACAAGGCATGTTTGCCATTTCCAAGCCATAGGCAAGAAATTTTTCTTTTTTTACTTGTTTTGAGGCAGAGTCTCACTTTGTCACCCTCGGTAGAATACTCTGGTGTTAGCTCAGAGCAACCTCAAACTCTTGAGCTTAAACGATCCTCTTGCCTCAGCCTCCTGAGTAGCTGGGACTCAGCTGACACAACACTCAGCTATTTTTTAGAGATGGAGGTCTCACTCTGGCTCAGGCTGGTCTCGAACCCGTGAGCTCAGGTAATCCACCTGCCTCTGCTTCCCAAGTGCTGGGATTACAGATGTGAGTCCCCACGCCCAGCCAAGAAATTTCTTTATGTAATGTGAATTTTTTTAATCCTGTCTGACTATGGAAAAGCATTCTTTCTTAAGTTTCTTTCTCTGATGTCCAAACAAAAATAGACTGAATAATTTTAAAAAGGCAGTATTTCTTTCAAAGGCAGACACTTGCACTCACAGATTAACTCCTCTTTTTTTCTCTCCTCTGCTGTCAAAAAGTAAATAGAAACCAGCAGCTGAGCAGGTGGGTGTATTTGCTTATGACTCACCAGCATTCACACTCAAGGTTCCAGCTGCTCTTCTGCTATATACAGAAACCTATTTTAAGTAAAAGTGTAACCTCGTGGGTGCTTCAGAAGTACTAGAGCCCCCCAAACAAAATCCATTTTCAAGTGGGGTTTCAGTTAGCCCCGCCCCGCCCACTACCCCAACCACTACCCCTGTGCTCCGCCCCCAAGCTCAGGCCCACCCTTCCCCGTCCTGCCCCTCCCCCGATCAGCCCCGCCCTCCAGCCTCGTCCCGCCCCTTCCCCAGATCAGCCCCGCCCCGCTTTT